CCAAACACATCATATTGTGTCAGTTAACTTTTACTGTGTAGTAAAGCACTCACAAAACTTACTGACTTTTCAAAACAATCATTTATTTAGCCCATGATTCTGTGAATTGGTTGAGTAGTTCTAGTCGATCAACTGATCTCTGCTGGCGTCTCTCATGTATCTGCGGCAGCTGGACTGGTAAGTGGATGATCTAGGATCTAGGATGGTCTCACTATGTGTCTGGCTGTTGGTAAGTTATCAGCCAAGGTGACAGGAGTGACTGGGCTATGGTTTCTCATCCTCCAGCAGTCTAGTTCAGAATTCTTCACACGGTAGTTGTTGCAAAAGCAACAAGAGAGAGCAAGCTCCAAAGCACAAGTATTTTTTAAACTGCTTGCATCACATTTGCTAAATTTCCTTTAGTTAAGGAAATCACAGTTCTAGCACATCATCAATGAAGGAAATAATTCATGGCCATTTTTGTTGCCTGCCACAATCCTCTTCATCACTGTCATCATAAAAACTAGTATTTATTGAGCGCTTACTAAGTTCCAGGTGCTGTTCTAATCATATTACATTTATCAAAGTGTGTAATTCTATTCACAACCGTATGAGGCAGATACTATTATATTCTATATTGGAGAAAAGGAAACTGAGGCACAGAATGACAAAGCAACTTAGCCAAGGTTGCACAGCTGGAAAGCATGGGAGCTAGAATTCAAACCAATGCTCCAGGGTCATACTTGTAATGACTGTTCTCTTCTGTCTCTTCTTCGCACTCTATATGTGAGCTTTTCCATGATTTCTTCTTTTTCATGAGTGATCTAGGAAGAGATAAATACCTTGATTTTCTTTTTTTTGAGATGGAGTCTCACTCTGTTGTCAGGCCGAAGCGCAGTGGTGCCATCTTGGCTCACTGCAACTTCCACCTCCTGGGTTCAAGCGATTCTCGTGCCTCAGTGTTCCAAGTAGCGGGGATTACAGGCATGTGCCACCATGCCCAGCTAATTTGTGTATTTTTAGTAGTGACAGAGTTTCACCATGTTGGCCAGGATAGTCTTGACCTCCTGACCTCCTGATCTGCCTGCCTCATCCTCCCAAAGTGCTGGGATTACAGGCGTGAGTCACCACGCCCGGCCAATACCTTGATTTTGACAGGTTCCCTGAACATTGCCATATCTACCACCACATTGTCCACACTTCAGCATTTTTCCAACAAAGCATCTGGAGTTTCTCTCATCCAGGATGGATGTGACTGGGATGCGTTATTTCAGGTCTTGGTAGTAAATTTGATCTCTTTCTGGTTCTTTGTGGTGACGATGTTGGCAAGGGTGTTGGAAGCTCAGAGCTTCATTCATAGAGCACTTCATCTTTTATTTATTCAGACAAGTTTGGGGCCTTAGAAACATGTGGCTGATAACAATGCTGAAATATTACATAATATAAACATAGAATTTATATATGTTTATTAATAGTTTCTTAGAGGTGATTTGCAATAACTTTTGATATCAGAGACTGTGGCTTTCTCTCTATCCTCAGCAACTAGCACAGCCAAGATCACACAGAGGACACATTGAAGGAGCTCAGTACATGTTTGCTGTAAATATCTATATCCATATCTGTATTTTATTAAGACAGGGTCACAGACACATATACTAATGGTAACCAGATATTGGCCAGGTGTGAACATTAATGAATAGTTGGGACTGGCATCCAGTGGAGAACTCAGGCCCCATCTCACAGTAGAAGGCCTAGTCATTTGATACCATGTAGGAATGCTCAGTGTTATCGGATTGTTTCATTATTTAGGAGATGCTGTAACTTCAGATGTATATCTAAAACTTTCCTGAATTTAAAACAGTGTATGTCAGATGAAACAGGTCTGTTGACTGAATCTGGTCCATGGTCAATTGATTTGTGACCCCCCCCCAACACATTAGGTACTTGTTAGTACATTTCTATTGCATTATTACTGTCCTGAAGGCCAGAGGTGGAAGGGGAGACACAGAATAAGGAAGAGATGGAACAATGAGATGACAAGAGATGAAGGACTTCAAGAAGGATGGATGATTGCCTATTTCAGAGATTCTGTAGAGGTCAAAGAAATGGGAATAAGGCCATTAGATTAAAGCAAATTAATTATTTGGCACAGCACTACATCTACAGGCTCTGTTCTTAAAAACCAAATGGTCAAATAACATGGGAAATACTCCATTAAGCAAATTAAAATAATTTCTTTACTCTGACCCTTCTAATTGTCTTTAATATTCTACTATGCAATGTAAACCTCCAAAAGGAGAAGAGATTTACTGAGTTTTTTTAAACTTTCATGATCAAGGAGTCCTTAGGTCATATAATTCGTTGTTTAGAATGATTAGATAGAATATGATTAGATAGAATGTTTTGAGGAAAACATTTTGGAAAAGCTGGATAAGAGGCTGAAGAAACCATTGGGAGTCTATGGAGGCCTGATGTGGAGACTGGAATGCGTGGTAGTGAGTGAACACACAATGAGCCAGTGGAGCAGCATGGCAAGTATAGAAAGTAGGCCAACCTATTAGGAACTAGGAATTGCCAGCTTAGTCATCTTTTTAAGACAAAACCTTTTTAGCATCATTCCTTTGCTGAAAACAGACAAGCAAAAAAACCTCAAGGGTGCCCGCCTCTGATGTGTGAAAGCTCTTGCTTTAACATTCCAGGCTCTCATTTATCAAGTCAGCTGACCTTTCTCATTCCCCAGTTACTCCCTGCACTCACACCCTGCTCTAAACACCCTGCTCTGCTGGATGTCCTTATTGCTTGCATGGTGAGTGGTCTCCCCAGCTGCTCCAGTTAGATACATGCCTGTTTTGCAAGGCACAGGTCAAATCCTGCTTTCCCTATTAAGCCTTCCTTAGCCATCAAGCTTCAGTCAGTTCTTTTGCTTAAACAACTGGAGCAGTTACTTCTGAAGGACTTACATGGGACTTAGTGTGTTGGAGACTGCCTATATGATTTGAGGCAAAGAGAAGAAAACTATGTCTTGAGCTCTGCAAGACATTTGCCCTCACAGTACACCCAAATAAGGTTAGGATAATATTGCCCAGAAATACAGAAGAGCAAGGGCATAACTCCAATCACAATGCATTTCATAGATTATGGTCTATAGTTATACAATCACCTATTATTCCTTGAGGGTAAAAGAGTGTATTCTCTTTTATAGGCTTTTTCAACAGTAAAGACCATCATTTCTAGACACTGGGCTGAGTATATTACATGTTTATCTTGGTGAATCCCACAACCTCCCTAAGTAGAGCGTTATTATCCCTATTTTACGGAGGAGGAAGCTGTCTTGAAACATTTAAGTCAGCTTGTTCACACTTATGACCAGTTCTCTATCTGGTGAAGGTAGTCAGGTGTACAATCTCATGTACCTGACCCCAAACCTGGGCTCTTTCTGTCCCAGCACACCATCTCCATGGCCATGCTGGCCACCAGAAATTTAATGACAGAGAATAGAGAATTGAAGGTAAGAATTCACACTGCATCTTCAAGTGGCAGATATATACCAGTAGAAAGAGGAAGACAGACAAAATCTGGTAAGGGTCTACACAGTTTGAATATAATTGGATTCTAGGTGCATTCTGGGGTTTTATAAGTACCTAGCACAGCTCAAGAGAGGCCCTCTTGAGTGTCCATGGGCCATAGTTAAGGTGAGATTTGGAGGATGCAACATCATGGGGGCACATGCATGACCCGGGGGGCAGTGAGAGTCTTCTATTCCCTGGTCATTCATCAATGTCACCGAAGGAGGTGACCTTCATTTCCACCTACTCTAAGCTCTTGGCTGTTCTTTCTGTCTCCTTTACTAGACTGTGAACTCTAAGGAGAGAAACGATTTTATTTATCTGGGCCTGTCACAATTTCTGGTATATAAACAGTAACTATTTGTTGGTTTGATGAATGAATGACAAGTCAGCCAAGGCAAAGTGCTCATGGGATATATGATAGAGAGAGCACAATGTAGTACACCTTTATCCCCCCATGAGAGAGCCAGATTATCTCACTGCATGTTATGTCTCTCCCATGTTTGTTTATATATTATCCAGCAGTCTCTGGCTTCTCAGAATGCTTGACAAATTCCAAATCCTCCCTTCCATAATGTCAAACCTTATAATTTTCAGGCCTCATCGAAGATTGTAAAATCCTGCAGCAGCACAAGAGATGTGTGCTGTCCTTTGCACTTTCCCCACATCTTCCAACACAGTGCCTTGTGCAGAGCAAAGACTATATACATGCACGTTGAATGACTGCATTGAAATGGATTGGAGACATGGTTGGGGACCTGTCCTAACAGTGCCATCTTCTTGAGACAATGCTTGGTGAATTCAGGTGGTAAAGAGAGAAGAAATCAGGATAGTGACATAGATGGGGCAAGAAGAGTAAGCAGGGTCTATCAACTCATTGGATGTGGAAGGTGGAGAGGAGAAAGAGAAAAAATGATTCAAAGACTTTGATCTCAGCTGACAGTCTGAAGGATTATGCCCAAGGGAGAAATAGGGAAGTTCTCTTTCCCCATGACCCTCTCATCCTCACTTCAGTTTAAGCATGGAGAAAAGATTTCCCATAAAAGTCCATTGAGGCTGAAGTACTCAGTGGAGGGAGACAGACATGGTTGGTCATTCAGGAGTGTTCAGGAGGACAAGAGAGAAAGATCTGCCCTTATCTCTCTGCAGAAGAGCTTTGCTCTGCTGAGGAGGAGAAATTTGAGCTGAGTGTATTTTTGGTTGGTATGACTTGTAAGTTCTCTGTTTGATAACAGAGATGTTTGAATGGCCTATTTTATAACTACACAGAGCTTTTCCAAATAGATGGTGTCTGTAGAATGTTCAGGTTAATGCATGAGCCCAGTGCTCAGAGTGTTTGCACTAGGAGCATCTGAGCCTTCTTTCTTAATAAGTCATCTTGGCATTTTGTCAACAAGTTAATTTACTTTTCTAAGAAACTAGATTAATACTTCCTGTACTTTGTGCTATTCACAGATCTACAATGCAGTGAGAAGAGGAGAAGAAACAGAAAATACAGTTGGAGCTCTACTCCATTTCTTCACAAAGCTCCCAGCCTCTGAGACAGCCCATGGAAGGATAAGCATTGGTCCGTGCTTAAAGCAATGTGTCCGAGACACTGTATGTGAGTATCGTGCCACCCTCCAAAGGACATCAATATCGCAATACATCACCGGTTCTCTCCTAGAAGCAACCACCTCTTTGGGAGCAAGAAGTGGCCTTCTCAGTACTTTTGGAGGATCCACTGGACGAATGATGCTGAAAGGTAACGCCTGAAATTTCATTTTTAACCTTTTATCTTTGACTGCAGAGAAGGATCTAAGTTAAGATTTATGCGTCTCCTGATGGAAAATTGAGTTCACTTTTCAGCAACTTTAAGTAAAAGTTGCTTCTTTAAGAGAATATAAACAGGTGGTCCCTTATTGAAATCTCCTAAGGTGTCAACATTCCAAATAGTAGTCATTAAGATTTTGAAATTTTTTTCAAATGAAGTAAATGGTTAAAATGCTATCTTTAATTTTTTTTTTTTAATGATTCAGGCAGTTGGTTTTTCCTAGTTGTAGTTTATGACAGATGTCAGTTACTGTGATAAGATGCTAGGAAGCAAATATGGTCAAGCAGTCATATTGAAAACCCACTGTGGTTGGGAGCAGAATGAGCTATAGATCTCCTTCATACACAGAATTAATAGGTCTCTGTTGACCAGAAAAGCCAAAGGCCATCTTTCAGCTACTCCCATCTTGAAGGACAAGATAGGCAGGCATCCCACTGAAAAATGAAAGCCAATGGAAAATGGGGTCCCTTGGCAATTGAAGCTCCCAGCTACTTCCTACCAGTAGCAGACAGGCAAGTCAGAAATGGTAGTGCACCAAAGAACCCCAGAGACTTGTACACAGCTGTCACAAGCTGCTTGGCAGCCTTCCCTGGCAAGAAGCTGCCAACCAGACAGGGACCATGCAAAGCAGCGTTCCACTGCCTGGGGGTTGCCAGAGCTCAATCTGACAGCAGCTATTGTCTCTGCACAGCAAGTCCTGAGACCCAAGGCCAGCAGGCCAGTGACCTTCCTCCTTGATTTTCAGCCTTCTCCATTCCTTACCCTCCCACACACACCCCTAGAGAGGGCTAAGAGGAATACCATAACCTCCTTGTGTACTATGTTGGGTGCCAAATTTGTCTGATTTCTGGAGTTGCCCAAACTTCAGGGCATTGGTTATAAATGAATGAAGAATAACACAAGATTTGGTGACAGTAATCCAAGAAACTAATGGCTTCATGTTTTTCATCCATTAAACACATTTTTTGAGTCCCTATTAGGTGGTAGGTGCTGGAAGGGGAACAAAACATAATACCTGTCCTCATAGAGTTTATAGTCTCTAGGTGGCAGCTATTTTCTCTACACACAGGACTCAAGGGTTCTCTTCTCTGATGTGGCTCCCAGAGAGTGCCAAGCCTGCATTCTTAATCATACTCTTCCCAGGAAGTTGGGCTGAAATTGGCATGTGGAATTGGCATTGTTTTAATGCTTGTGATTGTATACCAGGGCCTTATCCCATGAGTTAATCAACACGTGTTAATTAAACCCTCTCGGTTTTCCAAGACTTTTTTTTTTTTAAGATGCAGTCTTGTTCTGTCACCCAGACTGGAGTGCAGTGGTACAATCTTGGCTCACTGCAGCCTCCACCTCCCAAGTCCAAGTGATTCTCATGCCTCAGCCTCCCAAGTAGCTGGGACCACAGGCACGTACCACCTTGCCTGGCTATTTTTTGTATTTTTAGTAGAGATGGGGTTTTGTCATGTTTATCAGGCTGGTCTCAAACTCCTGACCTCAGGTCGTCTGCCCATCTCGGCCTCTCAAAGTGCTGGGATTACAGGTGTAAGCCACCACACCTGGCCTTAAAGTCTTTACGTGCCTCCATTACACATATTTCTTCAACACGTAGTAGAATAAAATGCATTAGAAAACCAGATGGGTTTCTCACCACAAAAAATAATATGTAAAGCATATGTTAGTTAGCTCACTTGAACCTTTCCACAAGGTATATATATTTCAAAATGCCATATTTTCCATGACAAGTAGATACAATTTTTATTTACCCACTTTGTGCTCAGCAGTGTGTAGGTGTTATAGGGTAGCCTAATGAGGTGTAAGTCAGTTTATTTGCCTGTAAGGTGTTCATCATTTTAATGAGGAGGCCAAATTTGTATGCACCTAGTAATCAAATAATATAGGAAACTGCAGAGAGGTAAGTGGCAAATAATGTGGAAGTGGCTCTTAAGTGTACAAAAAGTTTGGATAGTGATTTAATATTCTTTATGAGGAATGGCTTGGCCTGAAATGTGAAACCTCAGCAAAGAAAAGTCAATAAAAGCCACATTCTTTTGTCTCCATTAATTGTTAAAGAAATGGATATCCAGGCTGCCCAGCCAAGGCAGGCATGTCTCCAGTCTTCCACAGATCTATGGAGAGAAAAAAAGAGGCTGCTGATGTGTGCATCTATACCCCTGATAGTAATTTGACCTCGATTGCTATTTGTACTTCCCTGTTCAAAATAGAGCCTCATAGATCAATATTTCTAGTTCTGACATTCACCAGACTGTCAGCTAATGTGTTATTTTTAAATTGGCATTTTATGCAAGAGTTGGAAGTTTCAACTTTTTGTTTCGCAACTCTTTGATGATTTCTGAGAGCCCCCTAGAAACTCCTGCTGAATTATACAATTAGCTGGTTGCCTTCTGCCCCAAACTTATTTCTGCAGTCATGACTTACTCTCTTGAAAACCTTTTTCAATTTCAGCATCCTCTCCCATTTGGTTTTGAAAGTCTTTATGTCCCTCAGTTAAACATATTCCTTTAACATGTAGTGGAAGAAAATGCATTAGAAAGCCAGATGGGCTTCTCACCACTAAAAATGATAAGTATGTGAGGTAAAGCATATGTTAGTTGAACCATTCCACAATGTATACTTATTTCAATTTCAGTGTTCAATTGAACCATTCCACAATGTATACATATTTTAAAATATCATGTTGTACATGAAAAATATATGTAATTTGTATTTGTCAAATTTTAAAAAATTAAGTAAAAAGAAAATAGGTCTTCAAAGTAAAGAGTGTTTATGGAATATATAGGATCAACACATTGGGTAGTGAGTCTTGAGCTCTGATGGCCATGAACTCTGCCAGGACATCAGGAGGACATGCAGCTGTTGTGATGTGGTTGTCAGCTTCTTCTTCAGCATATGTCCTGTGGCATAGACTTGGCCAACAGCTTCCATCTATCGGGGAATATATAATACACCCTTAGTATCCAGTTTATAAATGGGTTATATTCTACAAGTTCATTTCCCAGGAGCTATGTAGAACTTAGAACACTTTCCTGGACAAGCAGTATTAAATGCTGTGATTTGGTTCCCAGATTCTAGTTCTCAGAACCTCTCTAACCCATAACACAGTTGAAATCCACACATTTCCCATGAAATAAAGAGGAAAACACTATTATTGGAATACTGAGCATTAGCCTCCGAGGAAAAGCAATACAAGTGAGTTAGAAGACATTTCTTGTTGGGAAGCAATAATTTTATTAAAGATGAGTAAAGAGTTAAAACCTTTATGGAGATCTTGAAAAGGACTTTTAGCCGTTTCTGAGATTCTAGATGTTGGCAGCTGTAGCTTTTTGTTATGGTTAATTACGCTTCAAAACTTGTACCTATATGAAAGAGTCAGAAAATTACCCCAGTAACTTCTTCCCTAATTTTTTTAACAAGATGCTTATAAATGGTATGAAGAATGGTGGAAGGAGGCAGCATGAGATGTAAATTTTTTCCCTAGAGATAAAGAAAAAGGAATAAGTTCAAAAGAATAACCTCTTCCATAAGAGAAAACATGTTTGAAGTGGATTAAATGGAATTGGTAAAGGTGGATTAAAAGGAATTGGTAAAGAGAAAAAGGAGCGGGGAAGACAAATGCTGTATGATTTCACTTATATGAAGTACTTAGGGTAGTCAAAATCATAGAGACCTTAAGTGGAAAGGTGGTTACCAGGGAATGAGGAAGAGGAATGGGGGGTTAGTGTTTTAAGAGTTTCTGTTTTGCCAGATGAAGAGTTCTGGAGCTCAATGGTGGTGATAGTTGCACAGCAATATGAATGTACTTAATACCAGTGAATTGTACACTTAAAAATGTTGAGATAGTAAATTTTATCTTGTATGTATTTTATCATAATAAGTAATAATGGGGGGGGGGAAGGCATGTTGTGTAGGCCTTTCATCCCCTCCCTCGTCTATTAGGATGTAAGAAAGAACCGAAGCACTCCTCTTCTGGAAGTGGTTATGATTATGAGATGGGGGTCATGGTCACCTGTAGTAGATGAGAATAGAAGAAAATGTCCAACGAGTTGATCATTATTCACAAGTCAAGAATGGGTAACTCAAGGCTTGATTGTCTAGAGTTCTGCAGCCTTGGGGCTTTATGGATTGGTACAGAAAGCCAACAATCAGAACACAAACATGCCTGCTTTTCTGCCACCAAAGGTGGTCTGTCTATAAAGCTGAAAGTTTGCCAAATAACAAGAGACACTTTCTGATATGAAGCATTGATCTGCAAGGGTATGCCCTTAATCATAAGGGTGTGCCATCTCAAAGTGGAAAAATAGAGAGCATATGCTTTTCAGCCAGGGACTTCCACTAGTTTGATACAATGAAGATCCTTCCACTTCCTGTCCCTGTGCCCTTTTCCCTCTCTTCGTTAATCTTGTTAGAATCTCAGGACTAACACCCTACAGCAGTGACAATTGAAAGAATTATTGGCGTCAACAATTAGGAAGAAATTTTCAAAGCTATCACCTGCTTTTTCTTTTTTTTTTTTTTTCAATGTTTTACTTACTGAAAATCATAAAAACAAGATAAAGATAAAGGGGAGAGAAAAAAGTGAGATAACTGATGGTAATGTGGAGTACTAAAAATGGCAAAATTTGAAAAATAAAGTGATGACAAGAGGATTTTTCACATAAGGCAGCTAAGTGTTTTCAAATGTGCATATTGTACCAGCCAACATAATAAATTCAGTGTGTTAAGCTAAATTTTTCCTTCTCAAATTGTTGCTAGGTAAAGCACATAAATTAAAGTATTAAGTATTACATATAACTAGGATAAAACATAGTTGTTCATATTTAAATTGTGTAGTAGAAGGGAGGGCAGATCGACCTACTGAGGCCAGCAAGAAATCTGCCATCTTTCTGACAGATGGAGGCCAGCAAGATAGTGCAGACACAGGGTGCCA